CAACTGGACCCACTGACCTTCATCTTGAGAATTACACACAGAGCTAGGGGAGGGGTTAGGGCAGAGCTGGGGTTGGAAGAAAAAGTAAAACTAACCAGCTTTGAAATATAGTCCAGAACCATTTTTTCAATTTTCTTCTTTTCTATACCCTGTAGGTGTCTCAATAGATGGTCTCTTAGCTCAGACATCATCTGAAAACAGGACATGCATTAGATAAGTCACAACATACCCATCCACATGTGCAACTGATTTTAACTAGAGTCATTTTTAGTATTTCTCATCAACATGAAAAATACTGGATCTGAGGATCCCACCAACTGAGGTGCATGACTCTCAGTTTCCCTCTACTGAGATAAATCAAGCGACTTCAACATTTTACTCAAGAGGACCTACATTTTTAATGAAAACCATAGAGCAATTAGGAGACAGGAAGCCCTGATGAGAACCCTCCAAAGAAGCCTGTGGAAGGCATAGCTTCAATGTTATAGGTTTGGGATCTACCAATCATTTGGATTCTGCTCTGGGAAAAGAAGAGGAACTGCTCAAAACATGGAATGACTGTGCTTAGGGGGGAACAGTTGGGATGCACAGAAGGACAGATGCAGGGCTTGAGAGGAAATGCATCAGGCACCTCTCTGTGCACTGTGGCATAGTCAGCACAAACCCCTCACATGCAAAGGTAATGAATATTCTTTCCTGTGCCTCCAAACAGGCTTATTCCTGTGCTTCTCTGTTCTCATAATCCTTGGGCCTCTCCATCAGTGGCTGGTCTTCCCAGCCCTTCCCATCGTTTACTTTTCTTTCTCTTTCCTCTTCCTCCCATTCCTGTTGTCCTTTTTGGCCTAAATGCCCTGCTCAGCAGAAAGTTTTCTTGGCTACAGAGATCTTTGTGGCATTGAACAGCTCGTGAGAACAATACAAGTAACATTATACATGCATCATACATGCATAAATCTTACATTTTAGCAGATTCTCCATGACCTCAGGGTCAAGACACTCTTGTCATCTGATTTCAGCTCAGTCTCTAGTGTATGTTACTTAATTTGCCTTTTTAAAAAACTAATTTTTTTCTTTAAAAAATTTGTGTGTGTGTGTGTGTGTGTGTGTGTGTGTGTGTGTGTGTGTGTGTGTCAGGGCTGGAGAGATGGCTCAGAGGTTAAGAGCACTAACTATTCTTACAGAAGACAGGGGTTTGGTTACCAGAACCCACATGGCAGCTAACAATCATCTGTAACTCCAGTTCCAG